ATAAGATATAACATATTTTTATAAATATTATCCTGTGTAGTCTTCTTTATACAAATGTAGATGATATACTTATAGATCATTCTCAATTTACAATCATCTGTTTAGTGACTGTTTGAAGTTACATCAGCACTGAAAAAAGTGACTTATGACTGTTTTTCACACTTATGATCATTGTAGCATCCCCTGATCATGTGATCAAAATTCAGATACTTAGCAATTGGCATGTGTTTATGACAGTTGAGTGTCCTGGGGTAATGTGATCACCTTTTGTGACAAGCAAAGTCAAGCAAAGTCAATGGGGAAGCCAGATTAATTTAACAACTGTGTTACTAATTTAACAACTGCAGTGATTCATTTAACAAGAATGACAAGAAAGGTCATACATTGAGGCAAAACTCACTTAGCAACTGTCAAGCTTAGCGACACAAATTTTGGGCTCAATTGTGGTCATAAATTGAGCACTACCTATATACATAAATATCAATAACACAATCTATGCATTTCTGTTACTAAATAATGTGTTTGACATTCAAATTGCTTAAACAAAACAGAAACATCATCACTGTCATGTCTGGATTTATCTATTACACTAAGTTTATTATATAAACCACAATTTGCTAGGGTTCACATTATATTTTAAACTATTATCCATAATATAAACAAAAACAAGTACCTTAATACAGATGCTAACCTAAAAACAAATTAGTTATATAATGAGTTGTAAGAATCCATGTTCTGTATTTAAGTTAGCAATGCATTACCATTGGATTGATACAAGCCTTATTGTCAACGCTGTGACAATGGATGTTCCTGCTCTGACAACTGATGGAAATTGCAGCCATTTTTACTTTGCTTTTAAACATGCTTTTTCTTCTGTTTAGAAATCAGGTGTTGAAGGGGGGATGGGGTAAATGCTTGAGCTCAGCTAGCCATAATAATAATGCAGCTTTGTGGGAACTCAAGTACACAAACCGGTAACATTTTGGTGGGCTGAGGAGCTGGAGAGAGAGCCTGTGCTCCGGGCTAATTGGAGAATGTGATTTATGACTGCTTTGTGGGGGTAGGACTTGCAACTTGTTACTTTGTATCTGGGGGAAGGGAATCTAATTTTGAGTTCAACTATGTAGTGCCGATACTTTGTTTCCTGAATAAAATGTTCTCTAAGGAAGAATTCTTGCCTTAAAGTTTTTTAATGGGTTTCATCTATCAGAATCATGCTATTTATTCTGTTCTTCTAAATTCTAATCTTATAAATTCTCTCTCCCACTTGTTCATACTAAAGAATCATGTCTTAGAATAATCAAATTCCAGAAAATATAATTTCAGCCAAAAAATTTCAAAGCCCAATATCACATATTTGAAAGACAGAACTTTAATGGAATGCACCTATTGAATGTTTCCAGTTCTTAAGTGCAAACCTCAGAATGTTTTGATCATGTTGAAAATAAAAATTGCTTCTCCATCACCTTTTTTTTCTTTTCAAAAGGCTCATTTTACTACAAAGCCAACATTGGTCCTCAGAGAGGAAATCTAATCTCATCAGCCATGCCAGATAACTTATCAGTTTAATGAACATGATTCCTATTTCCTGATTAGTGAAAGTAAGCATATTATATACATCTTTTATGTTCTAAAAGTATGACAGTAAAAATAGTGAAGAATCTTGTATTTAAAGCCAATGTTCTACAGACTATACATGCATTTGATAAAGCAACTTCAATAAAACAAATTTGTTAGAGGTGGCATAATGTCCCTGGACACATTTAAAAGGGGGAAGAATACTGTGTAGTTCATGTGGTCATGACTGAATATTTACTTATACAGAATATATATTCCTTTGCAGGGGAAAGTTAAAAGTTCAAGAGACCAGCTCTCCAAAACCAGCATACAAGTTTTTTTATGCTGGCAGTTTTAGTCCACATTAATAGCTTTTATTATGTGAAAAGGAAAGATAGCTGTATCTGTGAGATGTAAAAACCCCAAATTGATACTCACAATAAGAAGACGAGTCTGGTTAATGAAACAAAGGTTTATTGGAGAATAACATAAACAGAATAAAAGAGAAAAGAAAAAGAATAGAAGAGAGGAGCATTTGCAAACGCTGGATCCTTCCCTATGGCCTGGTTCCAAGATCTGCATTTTATACCCCTACAATGCATGGCATATCTAAGAAGCTCTTTCATCTTTATAAATGTACTCTGAAGTTGTACTTTGTTAACCTGACCTCTTCCATACATCTGCTGTTATCTTGTTTATTTGTAATTCTCAGCTTGGGTCAAAATCCCCCTCTTTGATAGTAGGATTTCTAAAAGTGTAAGTTCCTGTGTCTAGAGGATTTTTAGGCAGGAAATAGTAAACATTTGGTAATATATTGGCATTGCATTGTTACATTTGTGTTACAGTGTTACATTTGTACTAAAGAGACAGTTTAATATAATGCCATTACATTTCTACAATTATTTCTACAATTATTAAAAGAATAACTTTTATTTCCTTCAATCCTCCCTTTTTCTCTTCCACCTGAATTTATTCTTTTATACTTTTAACAGTTCATAACTGCCTATATTTTCTTTAGATTCCTGTGCAAGCAAGTTTTCATATTCTGAGTCTTCTTTCCCCAATGTTCCTTAAAGTATTGGGCCCATGGTCCTTCCTTCTACCAAAGAAGGTATAAGGAAACAACAGTAGTAGAAGAAAAACTTTTCAACACATAGTCCAGGTTCTAGAAACACGTCCAGTCCATTGAAGTTTTTCTCCCACTTAGATGGAATCAATTCAACAGGTGAGGCAGTTGAAATTTCATTTTCAGGCTGTCCAGCTGCAAGGTTTTTCACTGGAGAGGATATAATGGGACTTTCCATGGACTCATGCCTTGATTCCTTAAATCAGGAGGACTTGGCATGGTTGAGACCACTCAGGACTGGTATTTCTAGGTGACAGTTCTTTTTATCTGAATCCAGGAACAATGGCCAGAGACAGGTGGTAAGGCAGCCTGGGCCACATTATGCAAATACTGTAACTTTTTTCTCTTCTTCATTGACATTCTTGAACCTTCATGTAACAAAAGCCTCCCATTTCAAAGAAACAAAAACAACTTTCCAGTTGAGACCTATATTGACTTGGCCTCACCACTAAATGTTGTAAAGCTTTTTTTTTAACTTGAATTTTATCACATATTTGTTTAACTAAAGTATAAATACAACCATCCTGTTTTAGAAAATATTAATCATCCCTTGCGATCCCCCTTCAGTGGCTGCTTCTGTGTTCTAGCCATTGTTTTGTTGTTGTTGTTTTTTTCTTTTCAATATCCCTCTCCCATCTTTAGTACATTCTTGTTCCTTCAACATTCTAAGGCTTGTGTTAAGGCATACAATTCACACGTTTGGGCTGACCACGTTAATGGCAGTCTCCCTGCTTAATGCATGCAATTCACAAGTCTGTGCAAATCAACTTAAAACAACTTTCCTGTTTCTTTCTTCTATTATCCATTCCTTCCTTCCCTTCTTCCACTCTAGCATAACTTCTTTCTTTTCTTCTTCCACCAGTATTCAAGACTCCATAAACATACTTGGAGTCAGTGTATATTTTCTCCTTCTCCCTTTGTCATTTTTATACATTGCTTACATGACTCTAATGGTTGGACAGGTTTTAAGAGTATAATAAGAACCTCCCCCCCCCAAACATACCACCTTGTAATGTTCCAATACATCTTCTAAGACTTAATAACACACTCTCAATCTCACACCCTGTGCACTGAACACAATTAATACAGTGAGAGCAGCAACATCCACAAAGATACCCACAAAATCAGTACATGCGGGAGGCCAGGAGCACACTGGCCTGGTTTCAAGATCTGCATTTTATACCCCTACAATGCATGTCACATCTAAGAAGTTCTTTCATCTTTATAAATGTACTCTGAAGTTTTACTTTGTTAACCTGACCTCTTCCGTCCATCTGCTGTTATCTTAATCATTTGTAATTCTTTTCTACTCAAAGTGTAAGTTCCTATGTCCGGAGGATTTTTAGGCAGGAAATAGTAAACATTTGATCATATATTGGCATTGCATTGTTACATTTGTGTTACAGTGTTACATTTGTACTAAAGAGACAGTTTCATATAATGCCATTACATTTCTACAATTATTTCTACAATTATTAAAAGAATAACTTTTATTTCCTTCACATCTGACATTTTAAATTAAAAATCCCCAAATCTGCATAGGCAATACCTTCATTAGAATAAACAAGAGAGCAGGAAACAGTAGGTACATTGTCAAGCTCGCAAGGATTCTGTAAGGTTAAAATAGTTAACAAGAAAAAACACTGGGTGGAATTCAGAACTACACGACCCTCCTCCTGAGCAGAAACAAACTAGAAAACTGTTTGGCAACTATTTACAGGCACCAAGTTAATACATTATTTCTTTCACTGTAAAGAATTTGGATTTCGATTATGCAGTTCTCTTAACACTACCACAGAATACTAAATATAATAATACTAAATATAATAATAAGTCTGGGGGCTCGCTTATGGTACAAGTTGTGCGAACTCAGAAGCGGATCAAATAAACCTTGGTTCAGCTAAACAAGAGCAACAGCATTATGCGAACATGGCCAAAAGGTTAAACGTAAGACAGAATAAAGGGCATTAAAGGAACCATAAAGCAGAGTTTGCTGCCACATCACTCACGCCTAAGAAAGCGGAACGTAATGGGGACTATTGCCGAGGCCAATGTCAATCATATGACGGAAGCGGAGGCGTGAGACTTGCCTGCCCCCCGTCCTCCGCCCTCCCCCTAAGTTACCACGACGCCAGTGAAAGCTTTTGCCACGACAATAGAGCTCGTCTCCGGCTTTAAGCTCACCAAACCCCGCCTCCTGGCTTCAAGCCAATAGCGTTCGGTGTCCGTTCCTCTAAAGCATGACGTGGCTACATTCCGGAGTCATCACCCCCTCCCCTCAGTTAGTGGAAGAAAACGAAGCTGGAGCTGGGGGTTCCTCCTCCTGCCTGGTTATTGGTTAATCTAAGCTGAGGGGGCGGAGGTCTGAAGGAGCTCTTGATGGGTTGGTGTGAGAAGAAGGAAAAAGAGGAGCTGAGCTGATTTAGACGGGTTGTAAAAGGGGCTGCCTGACGCAACTGAGTGGCCGGCGAAACAGGCGAGGTTTGCTGTTTTCCTATAGCCAGCGTGGGGGCGAGCTATGAAAAAGGGAGGGCGAGGTGCATTTTTTAAAACTGAACATTTACATTGGGGAAAAGAGCCATATCGTCTGGAATTATTGTTCATTTGTATTAAACCTGCTGAATTATACTGTAATTGTGTTACGTTTCTAATTCTTATGTATGCTATTTAAAAGTTGCTGTTTAAAACCAAGCTCCTGTGGTTATGCCGGTTAATAACTTAAGTTATGGCATCGTGCATTCTAACCTAAGGAAAAGATGAGTGATCCTGATGGATGTGTATTTCTTAAACATTGCCACAAATGTCATCTTTATAAATAAGTATATAAGTTAATGCAATTCTACCTGAGAGTACGGTGCACTCAATACGACTAGGATAGCGCAGAACTTACACAGGATCACACTGATGCAGCACACCTGAGTTTAACCCTGTTAAACATTATATGCACAAATGTTGCAAAGTCAGATCATTTGAATGCTTCTACTCAGCCAGGGCAAATGCACAAGTAATCATTTCAGTGGATCTGTGAATTACAACAAAATATCCAGAATATTTTTATATTATTTGTCAAAAAAAAAGTGCAGTAGAATCTCTCCCATTTTTACATAGATAAAAATGTGAAAGAGAAGGATACTACCATAACCATTGCAGAGGTAATAGCATTTGGGGTGAAGAAAGATTAAATATTGGGCTGTCAGATAATCATTCCATATATATGTAAAATTGTGTTCAGTTTGCTTTATTAAAAATGAATGAACATTCATGCTAGTGACAAAGAGAAATCACTAAACTGCCAGTGCTTATATCTTGACTCATGGATGGTCTGCATGGCCATGTCTTTTTTCGTATCTTTTGCTTATGGGTTATTTTTTCATTTTTGTTTGTTCTGAATTGGGATAAAATAAAATTCTGTGTACAAATCTAAGCCTTTGAAAACTCTATTGTTGCTCTGGCTGAGATTTGAGGAATTGTATAGAATCCTATACACTCCATTAACTTAATGATCATTGGTACCATTTTGGACAGTGCTCACCATCTCTTGGAGAGAAAGGAATCCATTCTCCAGCAGATGGTTGGCACTGACAGAACTAAAGCAAACAATAGTGGAATTCATAAGTTAAATTCATACATTCATAATAATCACTCGATTTATATTCTGTCTTTATTTTGTACAATTCAGTGTACAATTTTTGAATTTATATTTAAATTCATAACTTCTGTTATTGTTTGATCATATTTGGACTCAGATACCTGTTATCAGATACCTATTATCTACTGCTCCAAAAGTCCATAACGTACAGTTTTAATGCATCTCATTTTATGTATTGGGTAGGATCAAGAAAATAAGTATTGGGTGCTTGCAGAAGACTGCAGCTTGTGCTTGTCTTATAGTTCTATATCAGAACCACATTTCATGTTAAACCGGGCACTGAAATTGAAAAGGGAGCACTAGGAAGAAGTTATTCACAGAAATATAGGAACCACACAGAAAAAAAAAATCTCTGTGAGGACTTTTCCCCCTGTAGACTGTTTTCAATATTCTTATTGTGTAACAGGAGTAGAGGAGACCTGGATGTGTATTGCAGTGTTCATGCTGCCATCCAGCATGCCTAATTTTTTTTTCTCAAAGTCCATGAAAGTTAACTCCAGAAATAAATGCTGGATAAAATGCAGACAACTCTCAGGCACAATGAGCTTCATAAATACATTTTTCTCTCTTATGCAGGATCATGGACAGCAACATCAATATCCATGAGCTCCGGCACTGCTTGGCTGAAGCAGGACAAAGTCACCTTCTTCAATTTTGGGAAGAATTAAATGAACTAGAAAAACAAGAACTATATAAAGAATTAAACACCATGGATCTCAAGGAGTTGGATCAGGCTTTCAAAAAAGCCATGTTAGATAGTGGCCATTTACCAGGGGAGGAAAGCATGGATGCAAAGATGGAACCTGTGCCACGTGAGGTTCTTGGGAGTACAACACGGGACCAAGCTCAGTTGCCAGTATGGGAGGAAGAAGGTAGGTATAAGGATCCAACCAGACACATAGGATAGTTTTAAGAAAGTAAATCTGCAGCATGACATGACATTGTCTAGAGCAGTGGTTCTTAACCTTTTTGAATGAATTGCCCCCTTGAGCCAATAAGGAAGTTGTCATCGCCCCCCTCCCCCAACATAACCTCTCAATCACAACATAGGAAATAATTCTTCAATTTATGCAAACACTTTTTTTGTTTTCTTTAAAATTGTCATTAGGACATATCGATGCAAATAATTTATTTCCAGTCTTTTTCCCATATCTTAACTGTGTGAAAAATTTTGGTGCCACCCGTCATTTTATTCCCAAACTTCGTGATACATGTATTTCATTATTATCTTATTTATTCAAGACACTTAAATGTAATGACCACTGAAAACAAAATTCAATCCACTAATAGCGAGCGATCTGATGTTTTTGTACGACAGATATACAGCGATTCACTGTACGAAAAAGTCTCAAAAGTGTCCCCAAAACTTCTCGCTCCATCGCCTCCATATTGCCCCCTTTTCGTTCCTTCGCCCCCACATCGCCCCTTTTCGTTCCATCGCCCCCCTGAAAAATGAAATCGCCCCCTGGGGGGCAATATCGCCCAGGTCTAGAGCAGACTTCCCCAATTAGCTGCTCTCCAGATGTTTTAGTCTATCACCTATGGAGAAAACCAGTTTGCAGAAGGCTGGCCTAGATAAACAAAAACTAAAGTAGGCTCTCTCCTAGTCCAGTTTAGTCAGGAGCTCCAAGGACCACCTCACTTCAACCATGAGCTACAAATATTCTTGTTTATTAGTTCAGTTTTTGCATATCATTTGGTAAATATTCATTAAAGTGGTTTCACCAATTAATGCAAATGGAATCCTGTCTGCAATATTAGTATTTATAAATCGAAGGACATAAAATATTAATATAAAATGTATCTCACCATATACAAATGTATGTGCTTAAATTTTTGTTTAAAAACCCAGAGTTGCCATTATGAAATCTGTGAAATGTTACACTTTCATCCTAAATCATAGTTTTTTGAACAAGCTGTAGTTGGCTGAATTACATACCATGCTATATCAAAACTAAGCGGTGTTAAAATGTTTCTGTTACATGAGCTTTGTAACGAAGCAGTACTTTTAACCTTCTAGATATAAGTTTGACATGATTATCAGGTGATTGCTTTCCTTATTATTATCAAAGTTAGATTCTTTACAGAAGCTAGGGATTGATAAACCAGAACAATGGACAGAAGCCAGCAAGATGAATTGCAGCAGAGTCAATGCAAAGCCCTACATTTGGATAGGAAAAATCAAAGGTTTGAATAATGGAGGGAATCATAATGAGCACCACTACTATACACAAAAAAATCTGGATGCTCAATATATCACAAGTTGAATATGAGCCAATGGCATGTTGCAGCTGCCAAAACAAGTAAATGCAATCTAGACCAGGGGTCTTCAAACTTGGCCCTTTTATGACTTGTGGACTTCAACCCCCAGAATTCCTCAGCCAGCATGGCTGGCTGAGGAATTCTGGGAATTGAAGTCCACAAGTCGTAAAAGGGCCAAGTTTGAAAATCCCTGATCTAGACTATACCAACAAAAGTACAGAATCCAAATCAAAAGAAGTAATTTTCCCTTTCTGTTTTGACCGCTTAAGCTATACCTAGAATATTACATAATTTCCTGGACATAACATTTTGGAAACAACATTGACAACAGAGCATGTCCCAGAAAGGGCAAATGAGATAATAAGAAACTGAACAAAAATGTACTGGCTATCGTTAGTCTAGAGAGAAGAAAATTGTGCAGTGCCACGATAGCTGTCTTCAAGTATTTGAGAGTCTACTCTAACACATGGAGGAAGAATTCTTCAGAAGACAACAAGAAACAATATCTTTAAATTATTGCACAACAGTTTTTATTTGAACATCAGCCTAATGTCAAAAGCCATTTAACAGTGAAACAGATTGCCCTGGGGAGGGCTGTATTTGGCTGAATGGCCATCTGTTGAAGATGTTATGCCTGTGGATTCCTGCACCGATCACAGCATTGGATTATATGATCTCTTTCAACTTTATATTCTATGATTTATGATAATTATTTAGTGAATTTAGTGTGTTTTGAAGAATGTTCAGCAATAACACTGAAGAAATATAAAACCTGAAGAAAGACTAGTATTACAGCTTGAATCAACTGAACTTGATAAACAAAACCTTTAACTTTAGCACACCCCTCCTCCTAGCCATTAGAATCCTGCATTGCTTGCAGGATAAGAACAAATCAAGCAAGGTGATTGTTTGAATTGAGAGATATTTAAAATGCTAGAAAGTGAGATTTTGGTAATACAGCATTCAGGCCATCGAACACTTGCAATATATGTAGGCACCACTGTGCTGCAGAAATTAAGTTTAAAAATTAACGTTGCTGTCTCATTATGCCAGTTGCTCATTTGTTTAAATCTACCTATAGAATCACTTGTAATGAAATGCTTCAGGAGTTTCAGGCACAACTGCAAGCAGGGAGTTATCTAGGAAGATTTTACCCCAGAGGTGTTACAAATAACCTTATATAAATGTTACTTGGGCAAGTATCTACTTTTGCATTCTGTGATCAGAAAGGCTAAAGTTTTTGTTTTAGAATAGGTGTTTTCCATCCTATGTTGACTTAGGCTTCTGCATAAAATATTATGTTGTAGTGAATTTTAATACAACTGTAGTACATTGCATGAGAACCAGTTTGGTGTAGTGATTAAGGCATCACACTAAAAGTGAGAGACCATATTCTAGTCCTGTCTTAGGCATACAGCCAGTCACTTTCTCTCAGCCCTAGGAAGGAGGCAATGGTAAACCACTTCTGAAAAACCTTGCGAAGAAAACTGCAGGAACTTGTCCAGGTAGTCTCTGAGAATCAGACACAATTAAAGAAAAAAAAGTATATTGCATACAAATTCTGAAAAGAGCATGTACAGTCCTCAGTTCTGCTTCTGAAAGATTAGCTGACATATTAGAATTGCAAAATGTTCAATCAATAAAACATTTTAATAGTACATTATTAAGGAAATTAATCTCAAAATGTACTTTAATCATTCTTATGCTGATCCATAACCATAATAAAGATTTTATTTCTTAAGAATTCAAGGTTGTTCTCCATCTAATAAATGCCATAATTTTACAAAGTCTTTATTTTCTGTACTGGTTGCTCAGTAGCTGAGGATGCTTTGTTTAATGAGAGGCACATGACAAGAATGGTCATTAATACAGTTTTCCTGTATTAGGGAATTCCCTGTGTTGGGAAATTTCCACTGAAACTACTGTAACTACTTTTTTTGAGAGAATGTAGTGATTTTTTAAAACTATTCTTAGTTTAATTTAGCACATCAGAGTTTTAGAAACAATAATGGTAATATCATTCTGAGATGCAGAAATTTTCCCCTCTGTGCTTACAGTACAATTTCTTGTGACTATGCTATTCAAAAATAGAATAAAATGTCAATAATAATAATAATAATAACAACAACAACAACAACTTTATTGTCACTTTGAAAGTACACCAATCGGCATACATCAAAATGAAATTTCATTGCATACAGCTCTCAAAGGGTCACCACCTCCGATATACACTCCTTGTTCATGGCCAGCTCAAGTTACAGATCTTCCATTTTAGTCTGTAGGGAGCGAACAATGGCAAACAGGACAGACGGAAACGGAGCTCCATGTGGATTAGCCCTCAAATTAGCTTGTATTCCTGCACAACAACCTCACCTCCTTTCCTTTTTCTGATCTTGTCTCTTCCATATTTCCTAAAGAGGCCTCACTCCTTTTCACCCCTGGAGAACGCTGCCGCCGCCACCAATTCCTCCAAAAGCCTCTCTCCCATCCTCTGGGCCTGCCGATAGCTTCATCCAGTTCCTTCACTCCATAAGCTCCGGGACCTCTTCTCCTCTGCCTCCTTTGGAAACAGCCCTTATTTGCAATAGAATCTGTCGCTGGGCCAGCAATCAGATCTTGCTGCCGGCAGAACAATTTCATGAACTGGATTTGAGGGGATCAGATTATTCCCTTTCATTTTTTCTATTTGGTTTAGGTCTCCGACAGATTTCTCAGAGCAAAGTTGCTGTTCTCCTGCTAGCTGGGGGACAAGGGACAAGGCTTGGTGTCTCGTATCCCAAAGGAATGTATGATGTCGGGTTACTCTCCCATAAAACTCTGTTCCAGATCCAGGCAGAGCGTATTTTAAAACTGCAGCAGCTAGCTGAAAAGCAACATGACCTTCAGTGTGTTATTCCATGGTAAGGATTTCTTGTCGTTTCAAAATGGATACATATCCTAGATGTGTTTGTGTCTGACTTTAATGAATTATGACTCTCTTGTTGTTCTGGGCAGGTATATAATGACCAGTGGCAGGACAATAGAATTGACTAAGGAATTTTTTTTAAAACACAAATACTTTGGTTTGAAGAAGGAGAATGTAATCTTTTTCAAACAAGGGATGCTACCTGCCATGGACTTCGGTGGGAAAATTTTCTTGGAAGAAAAGGGCAAAGTTTCTATGGCCCCAGGTAAGCTGTAGATCTATTCGGTTTATAGGAATGTATTAGTAACTCGAGATTGAATCAGACGTTAAAATCTTGTTTGAGTAATTATCCACAGTCTAAAAGCCTGAAGATATAGGCAGTCAATCAGATTACTCTGAAAAAGGTTGATTATTTTTGCTTATTGAAGTTAGCAGGGATCTCTGCACTAAAACGAGCAGAACACAAAGTTATTTCAGTAATAAATATCATTCCACAGCACAGGCAGTTCAGCTAACTTTTATATTTTAACAATCCATTAAATTTTTTGCATAAAAACAAATAGGAAATAATATTGATTTGAAAACTTTATTCAACAGTAAACAAGTATAGGTAGTCCTCATTTAACAACTGCAATTTTTTCCAGAGAAATGGTCACTAAGCAAGCCATGTGGCAGAGAGATGCTATGAAGATCACTGAATGCTGCTATCTCATTCAGATCAAATTCTCATGCAGCAATGCCGGCATTACTGCTACTGCAGTGTGTATTGTTGTCAAGTGCAAAAATTTGGACACAGGTGTGCACATTGGTCAGAAAATATTATTTTTTTTGTATCACTTACCATGTTTATTACTGTCATATTTGCAAATACTCACTATCTGAAGTAGTTACTAAATGAGGGCTACTTTTTAGACGCAGAAACAAAATGTTCCCCATTCATATTGCAAACCTTTCCACATCTGTATGTCGAATGTAGCTCGAAAAAAGTCAGAAATACTAAAAAAGAAACAAAAAATGAAGAAATAATAAAAAGTATCATTTTCTTTTCTTTCTAAAGATGGCAATGGGGGTCTGTACCGAGCTTTAGGGGCTCATCATATCATAGAGGACATGGAACATCGAGGAATTGGCAGCATACATGTCTATTGTGTGGATAATATTTTGGTAAAAGTTGCTGACCCTCGGTTCATTGGTTTTTGTATACAGAAAGGAGCAGACTGTGGAGCCAAGGTAACAAGTCTTTTACAGTGACTAAAGAGAATGAGTTGTGCCCTCCCTTTCTTAATCTTTATAATATAAAAAAATATTTGGAAAAAATAAACAACCAAGAACCTTATTGTTATCGTGATGAATATTCTACAACATATTTCTTGACTGCTGGTTCCTTTACTACTGTTGGTTACCCTAAAAGGCAAAAGATAATTACCACTTCAGTATTTTCATTGTCCATTCTAATGCTGGTTGATGTGCCTATTATCGTTAGCTTGGGCTTTGTATTTAATCTTAATTCCATTTTTTTCATTGTGCTCCTTGACTTTCATTAATAGAATCTATATTTTCAGTTAATTTCTATGGTCTATAATACACATAATAGCTTTACTTGTTTTCCTCTTTTTCCCATAATGTTCTCTTTTGCCAACCTTAAGTTAATACAATTCTTGTTGTTTTGATAGATAACAATTGGGTATAAATTTTTTTCTAATATTTCTACAGATAATGATCACATCAATATAATATTTCTTTTTTATCTAGTCATTCTGGTTGCCTCATCATAGATCCTGTTTACAGTTCTTGTTTACATTTGTTTTTCCCACAATGTCCAAGACATTCTTACTGGTTAAGATTTTCTCAAAGTTAATTACATTTAAATATTTAAGTCTATTTTTCTCATATAAGTTATCCCAATACTTTTACCTTTCTTAAGGAATAAATAAGACTAAAAAAAGAAAAAAGAATAAGAGTAAAGAAAAATAAAAAGATAGTATACTACTTAAAATACATGTTCCTCCTAAACTAATACATAATTATTTCTAAAATTTTCCATTCTGTTTTACCATGATTAAAATATGTTTAATCTTTAAATATTCCATTTAATAAATCCAGTCATCTAGTCTTTTAACTCTTATTCAAAACATTTTTATCCATTATAGCTTTCTTAAAGTCAATCACGTTTAAATATCTAAAACATTTCCTTTATATAAGCCATTCCAACTTTTTTATATTACTCATATCAAGAAATAAAATAAGAAGAGAGAAGAAAAAGTGAGTACTATGTTACTTGAGGGGCTCATCCCTCTTAAAATAAAATTCTTATCCAAAATCTTTCTATTTTTTTAACCATATTCAAATAGGCATTTCTTTTTTAAATATTCTCTCTGATAGGTCCCTTCATCTATTTTCTTAATATTCACTTTAGCCTTTTTCTTTTGCCAAGTATCTTTCTTAATCAATATGTTCTGCTGAATCAAAGAATCTTTCCATATTCTTGTAGATGTTACTGTAGATATAAAAAGCTAAGTCAAGTACAATGTTTTGTAGAAGGCTTTTGCCTTTCATCTTTGTTGAAAATCTTTTTCTTTCTTTTTCTCTCTGTTTCTCTTATCATTTCTTGTCTCTCCAGTTCTCGTGGTGTTCCTGACATCTCTGCAGTCCATTTTGTCCAATCTTTTTTCTTGTCCTCAAATTTGTTTTGTGGTCTTAAAGTATAAGTTGTTTTTCCATATCCAATATTTCTTGTGAATTTTTTCCACTTGAATTAAATTATACTTCTTTGTTTTGTTAGGTTCCATCTTTGAGTCTCTATCCTCAAATTTGTGTTCAGTTATCTGTTTTATCTGCTCCTTCTCTGTTGTTATTTTCTGGGATTTTTTTGTTGTAAAGTTAAATTGGAGATGGATTGGTTTATATTTTCAAAGTTATTTTGGATTTCTTTGTGGTTTGAAATCATTGTTGTTTGAATTAGTTGCAGCATATCATATATCTCCTCTTGTTTTTTCTTGATAAGTTCTTTCTGCTAGTCTCTGATTTTCCATGATAGCCAAAAATCAAGGTTTTCTTTTCTCTGCAAATAGCTTTGGAGTCACAGTTAAGTAGATGTTTGTAATCCAGAGAGTTCCAAAAAGTTTTTATCCTGAAGTTTATAATTATCTCTTTGTCTGCAGCCCAGATTGTTTTCTTTTTTTTTATCACAGCTGTTCTCTATTATTGGAGCTTTGAAGGTCACAGATTAGTTTTTTCCAGATTTTGCCAAATCCTGTATGAAAGCCATAGCTGTCATAGTCTTCATCCACCACTAGATGTCAGCTCCAGTTTATTTTTCAATTTTCAAAATAAACAGTTGTCTTTAAAATGAGAATCTTAACTATTCAGCAATTTCAAACTTATCCAAATTTAGGTTTTATATTCATTTCATTTCATTTTTATGTGTTTTGGTCCTCCATAAAAAGTTTAATTCGCCGCTTCCGTTAGTAAAAGGGTGGGGCAAAGATCCCCCTCCTTCACTTTTGGAGGTTTTTTTGCTTCTTGGGATTTTTTTTTCCAGGAAATTAGTTGATAAGTAGGATAGAGAAAATTGATGTTCTTACCCAGATACAGACACATTGTTTACAATCAGCTTAAAGTAGTACTTTTTGACTTTGGTTGCTTGTAGCTTGTGCTAGATTCTGAAGTTAGGCTAGCCTTTCTCCTGCTGGTTTCTGGAAGGCTTCTCCCGGACCGATCGGGTCAACCGCCATATCTCCATGGTCCATGGGACTTCCTTCTTTGCTGCCTCTTCGGGACAACTTCTACCACACTTAGGGTCCCCTAACAGGAAGAAAATCAGTCGTGGTGCAAGGAGCCCCGAAATCCCTTGGCTGCTGCACTACTGCGCAAAACCAGAAGTTAGTGAATGTTTTTTAAATGTAAACCCAGACAACACACTGTTTATCAAATATTAAAGTGACTATGTTAAAAAATCAATAAAATATATTATAGAATCTATATTTTCATCTATCAGAGAAGTGTCATCAACATGTCACAAGCTATTGATGTGTCTTCCTCCAATTTTAAAAGCTCATTTATATTTTCCCAATCCAACCTCTCTCAGTATATATCCAGCGTAAAGGTAGAGCATACAGCATTGTCTCAATCCTTTGCTGACCTGGAAGCAATCTGTCACATGTTCCATCCAGATTGTGATTGTAGGTTTCACATAGGAATTATGAGACATTCTGGGATTCCCATTTTCCTAAGAACATTCTGCAGCTTGACTTGATTAACATAACTATACACTTTTCTGCAATCCGTGAGGCATGTATTGATTTCTTTTTGGTATTCTTTGGCTTTTTAATTCAGCATGCATCAGCCATAATATTTTGTACTCCTTGGCTTTCTATAAAGCCAGTTTGAGCGTCTGGCACCTCCTTTCCATGTATGGTTCTAAGCTATTTTGGGTGATCCTAGGCATTATTTTGCTGGAATGTGAAATTAAGGATATTGTATAGTAGTTTGCACTCATTGTTAAATCTGCTTTCTTTGATAATGGTATGTAAATTGACCTCTTCGAATCTGCTAGCCAGCGTCATTCTCCAGATTTGCTAGCATCATTTTGGTTAGAAGTTTTACTGATTGTTATTCTGTTCTTTGCTATAGTTCTGTGGCTATTCTGTCCATTCCTGTAGCTCTCTGACTTGGTAATTGCCAAGTTCTAATCACAGAGGTTCTTGTTAAAAGGGAATATATTCTAAAATATTCCAAGGAATTATCTTGGATGTTGACATCTCTCTTTTGATCTTTGTTTGATCTTTCTTAAACCAGTTACCTTCTATCTATTAGTTTCCCCTAGCATACCAACTCAGGGTCAGAAACTTCTTCTGATTTTAGAATTCTATAGAATAGAACACAATTATAGTGAATTCATAATCTTTTAAAAAAGAATTTATCCAGAGTTGCTTACTTTTTATTCTGAGATAAGAGTAAAAATGAATGTGTGTTTTAATTATGTCTCTTTGGTTGATTTGATTCACTAATAATTCACAAGCTATTTAGTAACACAATATCTGCTCTTTTTGTAAATTAGTTTCTTGGTTAGACTGGGAAGCCATATCCATAATAGTAATAAGAAATTCACATGGATGCAATGAACAGAAATTATCAAGTTTGGCAGGAGGATTGCTTTATGATTACTTTGCTATGACACCCTCATGTGGTGAGAGAGAATGTGTCTCAAAGAGAAAAACAATTAGAGCTGGCAACTTTTTTTTTTATTGAAAAGTTTTATACAAATTTTCCATTTTATTGCAATACAATATCCCTCCCTCCCTCCCTCCCCCCCACCCTAACCCTAACCCCCCCTCACTTCCCAGAGCTGATTACAGGGTTACAAATAAGCAAACAAATTCTAACTAAGCTTATCCAACTATACCAATAACCAAATCCATAAAATACTTTAACTCAGATATAAGAAAATTTCAAAAAAAAATTTAAAACAAAAATAACAATATGAACAATTCCCACTTTAAACTATAAGTTATTCAAAAACTAAATGATACTTTCTAATCCCATTATTTATTCTGTACATAATTTATCCATCTTCTCTTATTTGAATGATCCTTCAAATAAGCAGAAATTTTGGCCATTTCTGCTAAGTTAGAAACTTTAAGCGACCATTCTTCCATAGTGGGCAAAGAATCTTTCCTCCAATATTGCCCAACCAGTAACCTTGCAGAAGAGCTGGCAACTTTTGTAATAATACAGAGATTGTTTTGGTTGATGCAGCTTCCCAGTTTGGAAATTTTGGTAGATTTCTTTCTGACAGAAGAACCATCATATTCTTCATTTGCCAATTGATATGCATATTCCTGTTGCTAAAATGAAATGTCATAAAAGTCAATTTAAACTGTGCTAAACTGAGAACTTGAGGTGCTAATATGAATATTGGATTTCAAGAGCTTCTTGGTGAGTTTTATCTTACACATATTAAAGCCAGGACCTACAAAGATATTTCAATACAATCCATATTCATCTCTGACAGTCAAAATATGACTTTTGTGGTTAAATTAGCAACACTACTAAACTATTTTGGAACTCTCTACTTTTTGCTTTGCCATTAGTACATACAGTATTGAAAGTACTGAAAACTCTGACATTGTCAAGATCTGTTGTATTTCAAGCATTTTAACAATGTGGTAAAATACTTAAAAATTATTTTGTTTTGTCAATGCTCATTGAATTGCTATAGATCATTTGCATAGTTTGATCCCATCATTTAATGTTTTCTTCTCTATGCCAATATATATTAAACTGAGGATAACAGTTATTGCATTTGAAGAAGGAATTACATTCCATCAAAAAGTTATTTACATTCCATCACAGTTATTTACAGAAATTCAAGTTATTAACAATTCTGTTTTCTACCCACTACAAGGTTGTCGAAAAAACTAACCCGACAGAACCAGTCGGAGTGGTGTGCCAAGTAGATGGTGTTTACAAAGTGGTGGAATACAGCGAGATTTCTCTGGCCACAGCCCAGAAAAGATGTTCTGATGGCCGATTACTTTTTAATGCTGGCAACATTGCCAATCACTACTTCACAATGGAGTTTTTAAAAAACGTTGTCAAGTAAGGACTTTCTTTAATCATGCTGATCTATGAAGTGCTACTCTGAGGTCATTTCTGCTCTTCATGTTAAAATCTGTTTTTTTTATTATTATATTTGCTATAGTATAGCCTATAATACTCAGGATGGTTCAAACCAAGAAATAAAATATTATTTAAGTTTAACATACAATGAAAGTATCATATAGGCAACACTCACAAATTGCACAATGCAAATAATGATGCTGATAGAAAACTAAACCGTTTAGGACATATAGAACATGATTTTATTTTCTGTATTTCTCCTTCCCCACTTTTTTTCTAAGCTGCAAAGTGGTAGTCTCTTTTTGTTGGTGATTTCTTCTGGTCTCCTGATCATGGTTGCTTTTTTCTCCTTAATTCTTTCTGAGGGGCACTTACCGGGATATTGTTATATTTATTCAGTTTTATTTTCAAGATTTTAACCAAGATGTTTTTATATTTAGTTTAATTTTCAGGTTTATTTGTTTGTTCCTAGTTTGAAACTTGATTTGTCTATACATTTAGCATCACAGGACATCTCTAATGATGTCCTGACAGGAAAAAGATAAGTGATGAGGTGGCACAGTCTCTGGTTTGTAGAATCACGGTTGTTCAGAGATCAAGATCAAAAACCATACAATAACTTAGGTTCTTTCAGAAAATGTGTCAAGAGATTTTAGTGCATTGATGTTTACACTGAACTGTAAACAAGGAAAGGGACAGGAAGAGATTACAAGCAGTGGGAGTCCTCATTGACAGTAATTAATAGTAATGCTACTTTCTTACAGGATTAAAAAGGTGACTTAGGTATCTAGTTTTGGAATAACTATTACTTGCCTGCCAGAATGATGGGATTTGATAGACCATGGTGTGCTTCTCACTCTGCTGACTCCTATCTTGATGTTTCAGTGATTACGAACCTCAGCTGCAACATCACATAGCTCAGAAAAAAGTCCCATATGTAGATATGACCACAGGAAAAGCTCTGAAGCCTGACAAACCAAATGGAATTAAAATGGAAAAATTTGTATTTGACATCTTCCAGTTTGCTAAGTAAGTCCCAAGTGACTGACTGACTTATTTTGTGTGCATCTTAGTATATATCGTTTGGCTTTATTTTTCTTTTGAAAGTTCCCCCCCCCCCTCCTGATTGTATGATATTATCATTTTGACTGCAGCTAAGAAGCTGAGCTGTCTGAAAACAGATAGAAGAGAAAGATATGCAGTTAAGCGTGGATCAGAAAGGGATATGCCACATATAATATTGAAATTAGATTGTGTGACATTTATAGAACTTGTATGGTGTTACAGAAGATTGAGAAACAGTAATTTGTGCTAAAGTTGTCTTGGGAACCAGTCAAAAGCAGCAGAAGGAACAGATGTGGCTTAAAGAGGAGAAAGCAGATACTCAGTGACCATCCTGTTTAGACTGCCTTAGGGCAAACTTCTCCAAAGATTCTGTAATGCCAGTTTATCTTTGTGCCTACCTAAATGAAGGACTGCAGCTAGCTCCAGCAATTGCTATAAAGTTGGTATGCATTTCAGTTTTGAAAGCTTTGAAAAAATATTTTAAGTGAAGATATAAATAATTGTAGAATTTTTTTCTTCCCCTGTATTGACATTTCCTTGGTATATGAGTTTATTGCTAATGTCCATCTATAGGGCTATAGTTGATAGTAGTAGAAACAGAAACAGGTTAAAATCTTTACACTTGACAAATCTCAACTTTATTTTGAATCCAGGAACTTTGTGGTTTATGAAGTGCTGCGAGAAGATGAATTTTCCCCTTTGAAAAATGCTGACAGCCAAAATGGCAAGGACAACCCCACCACTGCGAGACACTCCTTGATGTCACTGCATCACTGTTGGGTTCTCAATGCTGGTGGACACTTTGTGGATGAAAATGGAACACGCCTGCCAGCTATTCCCTGGTTAGAAAATTTGACCTTCCCCTAATGTTTACCTTCCATCTCTAATATGATCACTTTCTGTAATTCCAGTTCAGCTGAGAGAACATACACAGTTGTGTTACCAATGTTCCAGTTGGTAAAATTCCAAACCAGATTTTGTAGCATGTTTCCTCATGTATAACTTTATCTTACTACATTAATAGCTTAATGTATTTGCATGCCTAAGTAATCAGGTCTTATATCAACATAAAATTGCCACAGGTCTATTAATTATAACTGTAAAATATGCATAGCTTTAGGGCAACAGCTCCCAACCTTTTCTATACCCCGCACCCCTAGAACGCTTCTGATATATTCTCGCACTCCTTACAAAAGTTTGAAATAAAAGCAATGAATTATGCATATAGATTATAATTTTGAAAACCCAAGTTTTTGCACCCCCTGGAATATTGTCTCACATCCCTGCTTTAGGGGTTAGATTTGTATGAAAATGAATGGAGCTCTTGCATTTGGAAAACAATTTCCATGCAAAGCAATTCCAAATTCAAACAAGACCCGGAATAATTAAACCCCTGAAAAATAGCTTGCATAGTTATAGTTCCCTTATACAGGCCAGCCAGGCTTCCTTAAAAGAGAGCTGAAGCATTCATAATTCTAGCCCAGTGGTTCTCAACCTGTGGGTCGGGATCCCATTTGGGGTCGAACAACCATTTCACGGGAGTCGCCAAACAACGCAGTCCGCCATTTTTTCCCCTTTTCCTTAGCTGTGCTACTCCCTTTTATTCTATTGGCTTTTGAAAGCCAATAGAATAGACTCTCTTGAATAGAGTCTAATTCTATTGCTTTCAAAAGCTAATAGGAATTGTCCAGGCTGTCTCTGCCCTGCTGAGCCCGCCAAAAGTCCCATTCTGCAAATGGTGCTGCACCAGTTGAGTAGTCCTCGACTTATGACTGGTTGGGGGTCGCGGCATTAAAAAGGTTGAGAACCACTGCTCTAGCCCATGGCAATGAAGCTTTGTAGTCATTTTCTTGGGATCTCTTTTCAACAAAATACAGAATTGTTCTCCAAATGAGAGAGAAAGATAGCAAAGGAGAACTAAGTGTGCTCAGAATTATAGTTACAGAACACAGTGATCTGAATAACAGAGTTCCCTTCGAAACGACAGCATAGTGTTTTTCAAATTTGGACCTTTAAAATGTGCAGTCTTTAATTCCAGAATTCCCCAGTCAGAATGCTGGTTGGGGAATTCTGGAAGTTGAAGATCAACTCATTAAAATTTCCTACTTTGAAAAATGCTGGTCTAGTGTGTGTGCTCTGTGTCTGAGACAGGAGCTTGAACATGTACTCTTGGAAAGAAAAAGATTATTGAAAGAACAAAATTAAAATTAAAAAAGGAGCTTTGTGTATGAAAGAGCAATGAAGAATCAAAATAGCATATTCTTATAGGTCAGGAGTGTCAAACTCACCACGTCACGTGACATATCGCGACGTATCGTGACTTCCCCTTGCCAGAGCTGGAGTGGGAATGGCTTCCACATGATGCATCTGGCCGCGGTCTGGCAGTTTGACACCCCTGTTATAGGTGATCTGCAAGAAGTTTAGCTCTCAGTTTAAGGTTTCTCTTCCTGAGCTGAGCTAGATGGGCCACTAAATTGGTATGAAGTAGCTCCATTTGTTTGTACCTGAATGCTCCCAAACATTTGACTTTGGAATCTTGCCTCCTCAGTTATCATTCTTGGGAGAGATGGCAACAGTTCATTTGTTTTGATGTAGGAGGAATAGTGAAGAAGAAAATGTCAGATGACATGGTATAGTGTTAAAAACTTCGTCATCTTTATTATATAGCAAGAAAGGTTGACTGTGATACAAATTTCCATCTAAAAATGGCTCTAAAAATGTTGCAAGAAATCATATTGGAGTTGAGTATCAAGGTCAAAAAACCTCATTATTGAAGAAAGATCTCTGAAATTCAAGGAAAGGCAGTATTTTGCTCTCCAAATATTGCTGAAATAACAATTTGCAACATCCTTCAGTATTGTTAATCTAGGTGCAACTTTGGGAGTAACATTTTAGCAAGATCTAGAGAACCACATGTTGCTCAGTACTGATATCAGATTGATATCAGAGATCCAGTTTGGTCTAGTGGTTAAGGCATCAGGCTAGAAATCAGGAGACTGAGTTTTACTCCCGCCTTAGGCTGGGTGACCTTGGGCTAGTCACTCTCTCCCAGCCCAATTCACCTCGCAGGGTGGTTGTTGAGGGGAAAGTAGAGGGAGGAAGGAATATTGTGTGTGTTCGCCTCTTTGACTTATTTATAAAAAATAATAACATTATTAATAAAAATAAAATCATTAAAATAGAGTTCTGGATAAAAAAAGCTGACATTCAATTTAGTGTACAGGTATTCCTCAACTTACAACTGCAGAAATCTGGGACCAGAATTTTAGTTACTAAGTGATGCCATTGTTAACTGAGTCATCATGTGAGTGGACCCGCTTTTATGACCATTTTTGCCATCTTATGACCATTTTACCACTGCAAATCATGCAGTCATTAAGTGAATCTGGCTTCCGCTATTGACCTTTGTACAAAATGGGATGGGAGGTCGCTAATCACAATTATGTGACTGTAGAATGCTGCAGCCATGGCAAATGTGATCTTGGCAAATGCCAAGCACCCAAATCATGTTCACATGACCGTGGAGGTAGTACAAATCATAAGTCACTTTTCAACATTGTCATAACTTCAAACTGTTGTTAAACAAATGGTCATAAGTTGAGGACTACCTGTCTGCTTCCAACCTCCTTCTAAATATATGGATAGAATCTGCCCACCCCATTCCACCCATGATACAGAAAGACCACTTTTTAGATTTGGCACACTCCTCAATTTTGTGTCCCTGCTCATTAATCCTTTTTCTTCCCATATGACAGCAACACAAATGGAAGGTCAGATGTGATCCAAGCTGATGCCAATCACAAGTAAATATACTGTCTCGGGCTTCTGGGAATGCATGGTGATGGGTCTGCTTGGGAACTGGCTAACACACCTCTCCATAGCATGTAGGGTTTTGGTACTCCATTTATGTATATGGTATTAAATATAAAAAACAATTCTTATTATTTCTTGGGACCTATGAAATAGTGGCCAGTGGCTACCTTAGATTCACTTCTTGGAAGACCTTAGTGTACATGTGTAGGGCTTTTTTCATGCCTATAAAATCTGTGGCTTTTTAAATTTAAGTAACAAGCTTTGCCTGGCAGACTGTTTTGGAAACTTAACCCTGTTATTGGAATGGGAGAGAGAAGAGATACTAAAGCATAATACTGGCATCCCAATGATGTACCTGCAGTATTCTTTTTTAAATTGGGCTTGCAGGGAAGTCTATGCAAATGTATGCTTTGGATGATATTTTTACTGCGTAAATCCTAGTGAATTCTACTTTTCACCTTGGGAGCAGGGGGATGGAGAACATAAGGATCTTCAGACTAGATTATGAAGAAAAAGAGATCATAGGAACAGTAATAAATGAAGACGGTAGTAAAGGGAGCAGTCCAAATGTGACTGGGGACAGAATAGAGGGGTTTCTTATTTATAGGTATTAGGTTATTGAATAGTTATTAAATAATTCCTTGAGATTATTTTATATTTATAGTTGTTTTGTCATATATCCTAAATGACACTGTTTTGTCTTACCTGAAAGCCAATCTTGCAGGAAGAGGTAATAGATAGATCCTAGTCAACCGATATATAGGTTCCACATCTTTAGAAGCAACTCATTTTTTCTTGGCTATTCATTGAGATTGTTAATTGGCACTGCCCAGGACCAAAAAAAAAAAAAAAAAGGCTAGTTATGGTTCTTTCATCCCACCCAAGCTCCCGGGTGAATAAGTGAATTTCACTATCTTTGATTGTAGAATAGAATAGAATAGAATAGAATAGAATAGAATAGAATAGAATAGAATAGAATAGAATAGAATAGAATAGAGCTAAAATGGACCTTGGAGGTCTTCTAGTCCAGCCCCTTGCTCAAGCAGGAGAACCTATACCATCTTAGACAAGTGACTGTCTAGTCTCTTCTTAAAAACCTCCAGTTTTTAAGCGCCCACGATTTCTGAAGGCAAGCTGTTTCATTGGTTAATTGTTCTCACTGTTAGGAAGTTTCTTTGATCACTTTCCAACCATTGTTTCTTGTCCTACCCTCTAGTGCTTTGGAGAACAATTCGACCCCGTCTTCTTTGTGGCAGCCCCTCAAATACTGGAATACTGCTATCATGTCACCCCTATTTCTTCTTTTCTTTAGACCAGGGCTTTTCAACCTTTTTACCGATTGTACCACTTTTAGGATGTGGCTATATTCGAGTACCACCTAGCAAGGTGTCAAAAACCTGATGATCAAAAAAAAAAACCCCTATTCAAACCTGTTGCAATTGCACTGAAATGACTTATGACCATTTTTCACACTTACAACCATTGCAGCATGCCCAAGGTCATATGATTTATATTTGGATGCTTGGCAACTGATTCATATTTATGATGGTCCTAGTGTCCCAGGGTCATGTGATCCCCTTTTGCAACCTTTTGACAAGCAAAGTCAATGGCAGGGCTGCTGGTGGCCATGTGCTAAGGCGGGACTTCCTTCCCTCCTTCCCCCCTTCCCTCTTTCTCATCCCCATCTCCTTCTGAAGGAAGAATTTGAACCCCCCCATATTTTCCCTCTTCCATATATTCATTAAACAAGGAAAAGCCTCCAGAGACAAAAAAGACAAGCTGGTGAGGGAACTAGCTTAAAAAGGCATATTTCCCTTTAAGAATTAGCTACTGGCTAGAAAGGAAAGTTAAGGAACAGGCAGCCAGCATTTAAGGAAGAAAAAAAAAATGTAGTAAGTACTGGCTGCTGGCTAAGGCAGCCTCCCCAAATGGCTCAATTCATAAGTAAAGGAATGCTACAGGCAAAATCCATTCAGGAGAAAAATACTTCAAAATCCCTTGCAGCAAAACTTACAGCTAACAATAGCAGAGCAATAAAAGCTAACACGAGACATCAGCCATCAACCAAATAGAAATTGCCAAACATTCCTTAAGAACACAAAGCCCACATTGCACAAATCCCAGAACTTCAAAGTCACAAAAGCACATAAGAATCCTTCCACTCTCCATCTCCCTCCCTCTATGCCTCAGCTCCAGTCGATGCTGCCTTTCTTCATTCCTTATGGAGGGCGACCCCTCCCCCACTGAGTTTCTTGTCTGTTTTGTTGCTGCCAACACAGATGGCTGCCACAGAAGTTGTAGATCAGCTCATGGCCTGCTTGATTTCCTCTCCTCTCCCCCCACCCTCCTCCTCCTTTCTCTTCAGTGCAGCTAGAGCTGACTCTACCTCCTCCCACGGCTGCTTTTTTTCTCTCTCTCCCTCTCCCACCCAAATTGCCTCCTTTTATAGCCCCTCCACCTTTGGCTCGCCCAAGCCACTCTGCAGCTCCGGAGGACTCTCTCACAGTAAGTCCTGCGCTGCGCTGGCTCATTCCCTCCCCAACTACACTTGACTGGGCAGGGCCGTGTACCACCTGCCATATGCTAATGTACCACAGATAGTACGTGTATCACCGGTTGAAAAGCCCTGCTTTAGACCAGCCAAACCCAAGTCCTGCAGCCATTCTTCGTATGTTTTAGTCTCTAGGCCTTTGATCATCTTAGTTGCTCTTCTCTGAACTTTTTCCAAGGTCTCAACATCTTTATTGCAGTATGGTGACCAAAATTGGTTGCAGTATTCGAGGTGTGGTCTCACTAGGGTTTATAAAAGCAGTACTAATACTTCCCGTGATCTTGATTCTTTTTTAAAAAAATATGTTTTATTAATTTTTTTTACATATCACCATCAATATTTGGCAAACAGTGTATTGTCTGGTTTTGTATTTACAAATAATCAATAACAATTAGTTTCTATAATTCCATATTCCACATAATAGCTTTTTTATTTTCTCTTCTTCCAATAATATTCTCTTTTATCAACCTTGAATTAGTATATTTCTTGATAATTTTAAAAGATAACCATTAAATATCTACAAATAACCTCCACCTCATTATTAAGCTTCTTTTCTAATTAATCATCTTGATCACCTTGTCATAGATCCTGTTTTTAGAGTTCTCATTTATATTTATTTTCCCCACAATATTTCAAAAGAAAACATTTTACCTGTTAAAATTTTCTTAGTTAATTACATTTAGATATTTAAATCTTTTTCCTATACGAACCATCCCAACACTTACATTTTTCATATATTGAAACAGAAAAAAACAAAAAAAGAAATAATCTGTTTAAAAAAGAAAAAGAAAAAAACATATCCGTCTTAAGCTAAAATACATTTATATTCAGTGTTTTATTCTTTTTAAGCATATTCAAGTCTTCAAAATCCATTATATTTAAATATCTAATACATTTCCCTCATATAAATCATCCCAAACATTTTTATGTTTCTCATATCATAGACAAAAAATATTATGTTGGTTAAGAAGCCTATCCCTCCTAAGCTAAAATTCTGTATTCACAATTTTATTTCTTGAACCGTATTCAAACAAGTGCTTAATCTTTAAGTATTCCATCAAATGAATCCCATCATCTGATTTCTTAATTCTGGCTTTAGCCCCCCCCCCTTTTTTTTTTTTTTTGCAAACATCTTTCCTAATCAGTATGTTCCATTGAACCCAAAGATTTTCCCATGATTTTGTAGATATTGTTGTAGGTACAAAAGATAAGTCAAGTAAGGTGTTTTTGTAGAAGTATTCCTCAAAAATCTTTTTCTTTCTTTCTCTCTTAGTTTCTCCTATCTCCTTTTTTTTCTCAAGTTCTTGGAATCTTGAAGTATAGGTTATCTTTTCCGTATCCAGTATTTCCTGCAAGTTTTCCTTCATCTGTATTAAGTCACAGCTCCTTCCATTATTAAATTCCATCTCTAAGTTTCTTTCCTCTATTTTATATTCAGTTATCTGCTTTACTTGATCTCTCTCTCTTTTTGTTTTCTGATCATTTGTTTGTTGTGAAGTTAAAATAAGAATATGTTCATTTAAGTTTTCAAAGTTATTTTTAATTTCCTCGTGGTTTGAAATTAATGTCATTTGTATTTGTTGTAACATAAGATACATTTCCTCCTGGAAAGTATTTGTTTTTTCTTGATATGTTTTTTCTGCAGACCTCTGATGTTCCATAATGACCAAAAATCCAAAAATCTTTGTCTGTCAACAACTTTAAAGATACAGTTTAATAAGTATTTATAATCCAGGAAGGTCAGTTTTTTTTCTAAGTTTTATAGTTCTTCCTTTGTAGATAGCCCACAATGTTTTCTTTTCTTTTATTGCAGCTGTTCTTTGTTTAGTTAAAGCATTGGAAGGTCACAATAACAAGGTTTTTTTTTTCTGGGCTGTATATTTAGTGCAGTATTTTATCCACCACTAGATGTCAGCACCAGTTCATTTTTCAGTTTTCAAAACAAATAATTATCATTTATTTCCATCAATAATCTTTTGCCAGGAGAAACTTAACATAATCCATCGATTTTACACTTTCCAAGTTTGAGTCTTATATTGATTTCATTTCTGTATAATTTTATTCCCCATAAATTTAATTCGCTGCTTCTGTTTAGAGGAGGGTGGAGCAGAAATCCCCCCCTCACTTTCGGAGGATTTTTACTTCTGGGTTTGTTTTTTTCAGGAAATCAATCAGTAGAAGAGAGAGAATCAGTATTCTTACCCAGTTCAATCATGCTGTTTACCATCATGCTTAACTTAGTACTTTTTGGCTTCAGCTGCATGTAGCTTGGGCTAGTTTTAAGAATGATGCTAGCCTTTCTTCTGCTGGTTTCTGGAGAACTTTCCCTGGAGATCCAGATCGACTGCCATCTTTCCACAACCGGCAGGGCTTCTCTCTTTCTTTGCCACCTCTTCCGGGTGGCTTTTGACACATTTAGGGTCAGCCATAGAGTGCAGAGCACCGCAATCCCTCAGCTGTTGCACAAACTGTGCAAAACGGGAAGCCTGTGTGATCTTGATTCTATGTCTCTGTTTATACAACCCAGAATTGTATTAGCTTTTTCGGCTGCTGCTGCATATTGCTGGCTCATAGTCAAGTGATCATCCACTAGGACTCCAAGGTCCTTCTCACAATTACTGTTTTTGAGCCAGGTCTCGCCTAATCTGTATTTATATCTTTGATTTTTCCTGTCTAAATGTAAGATGTTGCTCTTTCCACATTGAAACTCATTTTGTTGGATAGGGCCCATTGTTCAAGTTTGTCAAGATCTTTTTGAATCCTGAGTTTGTCTTCTGGGGTGTTGGCTATTTTTGCCAGTTGAGTATCATCTGCTAATTTGATGAGTTCCCCTTCTATTCCCTCATCTAAGTCATTTATGAAGATATGAAAGAGTATTGGGCCCAAGATGGAGCCTTGTGGTACCCCACTGCTTCCTTCTCTCCATGTGGATGTGGTGCCATTGAGGACTGTTCGTTGAGTACGGTTGTCAGCCATCTATAAATCCATCTGGTGGTGATGTTGTCTATTCCACCTTTTTCTAGCTGGCCAAGGAGTAGATCTAATCAGCCCCATTATTTATCACTTTATAAAAATGTGTATAATTATCAGAATGTACAAATAATAGCATTTTAAATGTGCTAGCTATCTTTTGTGTCTTTTCCACCAACACCTCTAGCCCCCAATTTTCTGGCAAGCATCACAGGTCTTTGTAAAGACACCATTCTCTAGACAGACATCTTTACTGATTTTATCTTTTCAGAAGATAAAAGACATTGAGGAAAAAATCCCCATATTTCCACAAAACGTGAGAATGAGGTTTCCTTCTTATTCTTGCTATGACTTAGGGAAAAGAGAATATTCTAATATCATCCAAATCATATAAGCCACTTTCTTCTGCTTTCAATCCTTTGCAAAGGGAAGATTTGAATACTGGGAAATTCTATCTTTTAGGTACAGGTAGTCCTCTACTTAACAAGTATAATGGAACCTGGAATTACCATCAACGGTCACTGTGGTCATCAATGTGAAGGCATCATATGGTCAGATCATGATTTTTTTATATATATTTTTGCAGCAATTGTTAAGCAAATGCTGCAGCTGTTAAGTGGATGGCATGGTTGTTGAGGAATCAGTTTTCCACAATGGTGTTTTTTGATGGAAACTGAAAATAACCCTGGAAACCAGCAAATCAACATTGCAAATTATGGTCATGTGACCGTGGGACATTGCAAACGGCCATAAGGGTGAGCTAGTTGGCAAGTGCGTAAAATGCAGATCACATGACATGGGGGTGTTATAGGTGTCATAACTTCAAAAACAGGCTTTTTTTGGGGGGGGACTATCTAACATCAAACATTTGTTAAGTGACCAGTCATAAGTTGAGGACTACCTGTATCTACATTTTCCTTGTTCTCCAGTTTGGAGGATGTAAAAAAATTCAAGCTGTCTCCTTCTATTACTTTTCCATCTGTGCAAGTGAAAAAAGACACTTTTCACTCAATGTTTCCTAGAAAACTCGAGCAAGAGGTGAGATATACACATTGCATTACTTTTTGGAAAACAGTGGTTTTTTCTTGTTCTTTTTTTTAAAGTTACAATAGGCTTGGGGATTTAGAACAGAGAAGAAATGACTGCTGAAAACATTTCATGTTTCTTAACATTTGCACAAACGAAAACATTGAATTGCGCTGCACTTCTGATGATTTTGAGATCATGTCCATGTGGTTTTCTTGCAGCAACAGAGGTCTGATTTGCAGTTTCCTGAATCCAAGACTGGAGGGGGGGGGATGTTTGCTTTTATTTTCTAGTCTAATCTACAGACCCAATAAAATATTGTACTGCTTCTCATCACTGTGTCATCACCATGTCTGCTCTGCTTAGCTTTTAAGATCAATCCAAGCCATCTAGGTACTGCCACTAACTCACTGAAGATCTGCATATCTCAGCAAATAAAAGAAAATTTCTCTGTATCACCAAAAGTTGCATGTCTTGAGTACAAATAGAGACATGCAGATTAGGCAGAGATGAGATTAGATTTTGAAGAGATGTTCTCAGTTGGGCAGTTCAATATTCTTATATGGACACATAGTATGCCTGGATAGGCAATAACTTATTATTTTGGGAGTATTGGATGAGTATGGCCCCAATGATAGACTTCCATTAGCATTTTCTGATTTCAGTGAAGTGGTTATAATTTTTTCTGCACTCACATTTATTTTATTTTTATTAAATTATTAAATTTATATACTGCCCATCTCGCTGTTCTCTGTAACTCTGGATAGAATATCCACCTTTCAATCCACTATCTTGTTAGGAATTCATCAGCTGACTCTTAAACATGTACCTAACATGATGGGCAAGCATCTTTATGCAAGGACAGAAATAGAGTAAGAAATAGTGAGTGAAAGAAATTAAAGGCACATGATAGAGAGAGAAAAAAGAAGAATTATAACTAGTTTGCTAGACACTTTAAGTTTGTATCTCTACACACCTTTGCTTCCCCCATATCTGTGTACAGATTTATAAATTGCTTTTTGCAGTTGAAACTCATGCTGTGCCTCCCATTCCTTCTCACACACTCACTGACCCACACAACACTTATTGCCCACCCCTGCAACCCTCTCTGACCCATATGGCATCTCTCATGCTGCCTGCCGCATCCTAGCTCTCATGGCACTCCATGCATGCTCGTGAGCCTCTGCCCACCCTCTGCAACCTACATGGTACCTCTTGTGCACCACCATGTAGCCTTTTACACCTTCCCTGACCCACATGGTGTCCCTTGTGCATCCTCCCCAACCTACATTGTTCCTTCCCTGCACCTGTATGCACCCCTAACTTTCCCCAACAGCAGCTACTTACCTGCTGGCAAGCCTGGAACTTCTAACATCCTGCCAGCTTCCCCATTGACTTTTCTTATTGGAAGCTGGCAGGAAATTTGCAGTGGTTCTGAAATGGCCACAACCCTACCAAATTTCAATCCCACAAGAGGTAGTGGGTCTATAAGTTAGCCAATTTGAGGTAACTTGTTTCAGAAATTGTTGCCTTTACGATGCACCACCTAGCACAATTGAAGGTTACAAGCAGACACACAAGTTTTAATAGTGTATAGATATGATGAGATACTAAAAGTTGGTGCCTAGGTTTCAATATTTCTCTTTTTTTCCTGAAAAAAAAGGATATTTCTCAAAATGTTTCCTCTCTACCTAGTGCATTCCCCCCCCTCTTTCGCATCTCACACTGTATGCTGTTAACCAATTTCTCTGTCTGCAGATGATGAACCTACTCCATAACTACTATTTAGATTTCTGCAGCATAGCTACTATTTAGATTTCTGCATGACAAGAGCAGAGAAAGATATTCATGCTTTAACAAGAGTTTGCCATGTGCATAAGTAATATAGGTATATTGGAGTGTTTCTCATCCTGAACTAACACTTTTTCTTTATAATTGTTCCTTAGTTTGAAGGATGCAAATGACTTGCCCGTTCAGTGTGAGATTTCTCCTCTTGTGTCCTATGGGGGTGAAGTAAGTTGCTGTGGTATTCTAAATTCTTTTTCTCCTCCCCAGCCTTCTCCTTAACACCCTGTCCTAAAGTAACAATTCTTCTTTATGGATGATAAGATAAATAAGCCCTGATGGTGCAGTGGTTAGAGTGCAGTATTGAAAGCTAACTCTGCCCATTGCCAGCAGATTGATCCTGACTGGCTCAAGGTTGACTTAGCCTTCCATCCTTCCGAGGTTGGTAAAATGGATCCTGATTGTTGGGGGTAATATGCTGACTCTGTAAACCGCACAGAGAGTGCTATAAAGCACTGTGGAGCAATTTATAAGTCTAACTGTTATTGCTGAATATGAATATAGATGATAGGGCAAAGTTGAAACAAGGAATGTGATGTAATAATGGGAAAGTTAATATTCCTGAGGCTTATGGCAAAGGTCCTGGGCATGTAATCCTTGTTTCCCATACTTGCATTGAATTGTGAGTAGAGAGGGATGTTTTGTTGCTGAACACTTGTTTTACAACTTGCAATGATTCATATAGACTTATTAGTGTTAATATAATTACAGCATACAATACATTTATGGATTACTGCTTCATTCCTTGATATTGGGATTTGTATTATATTTATATTATTGTAAATTAGACTGCTAAACTTGCTAGCTTATTCCAATAGCTAAAAATACAGCTTTAAAACATAACTTTTGCAAAGCTGTCTTTCATAGAAAATTGAGTAAGCAGCTAATTATAATGCTGTTGCAAGCCATCATAAGGGGGCATTCATCAAAATTGTTCTCATATATTATAATTATGCCACAGTAAAAAGTTTTAATTGGACTTTACTAGGTTTTGTGAGCTTGAAGGTTTAACATGAATATATCAAGTGCTCCTAACACTTGATTTTCATCCCCATAATAATCCTAAATGGAGGATGATAATACCTTAAGTATATATCTTAAAAAATAGGGTTTAGTATGCTATATTTAAGGCCACCCAGTACAGTCTGAACAGGAATTTGAAACTGATTCTCTCAAATGGAAAGTCCAAATCGCATATTAGATTATATTTGATGATTAAATTTGCTGTATTGACACTAAATTTATCCTGACTAGTTTCTGAATGCTTCCTTTTTTCCTAGGGATTGGTGGAGTTGGTCAAAAACAAAGAATTCCATGCTCCTTTGATTATTGACCAAAGTGGGATCCATGAGCTAGTGAAGAATGGTGCCTGAAATGTCCAGGAATGATCATCTTTCTAGTCCGGGATTTTATGACTCTTTCATGTCGGACTGAGTATTTAAACAAAGGTTTCACTAGCATCTTGAAGAATTTTCACTCAAACTGAGTTTCCTTAAAAATCAGTAGGAGGCTACAAATAAGAACTGCAACATGACTTCATCTTGAAATCCTGGATACAACTATTTATATAATTCTTAATGTTTTAAATGGTTACTGTTTCAAATTGCAGCACATATTTCGTCACATGCTGCAGTTTGAAGACATCAGAATTTTCTTCCAAATCCTTTATTACACCTGTAAATGGTCTAAGTGGTACGAAGGTTGGAATGCTTATATGAATTCTTATTTTTCAGTTTGATTTTTGCATTTGGTACCTATGCTTTACAAACAATTATATCTTGCTGGAATTGCACAATTGAAACACTAAAAAATTAGTACAACTGAATTAAAATGTTTTCCTAACATAATGTTTCTTGAAACTTCTTTAATACTTGACTTATATTTATGTTACGGCAGAGGCTATAAGGTACTAAGATAACAAGAGTCTAAGACAGCGGTGGCGAACCTATGGCATGAATGCCAGAGGTGGCACTCAGAGCCCTCTCTGTGGGTACGCGCGCTGCTGCCGCCAGCAGCTCATGCAGGTCCATTAGGCACCACGGCGGTGCGAGGCGCGGCCAAGGTACATTGGGTGCATGAGGGGAACAGGCTCCATTCACAGGCCAAGGGCAAGATCTGCGAGGGGGCCAAGATGACCAGCAGTGACCTGCTCTCCAACCGCAAGCAAAAACAGATGGGACAGAGTAAGCGCATCTGGCAGTCTGCATCACGTGTCTCCCCCCTCCCCTACTCTGCCTGCTGCTGGAGGGCTGACCCAATATTGGCAGCAGACTGTGGAGCCCCAGAATGCATCAGTTGAGGGGCCGGCAGGCTGTGGCTGCTGACAGACACTGTTAGCCCCCATGCGCTCGCTGGCCTCTGTGTGTGGGGGGCTGATGGTGTCAGGCAGCAGCCGCCCCGGCCCCGGCCCCTGCCTCGCCTTGCCTTGCCCTGCGGCAATGGCACCCCCACTCTGCTCCCTGCCTCACCCCATAGGATGAGCCTCCTGAGCCACCACCAGACCCCCTGGATCTCCCCCACCCCTGTCTGGCACCCACTGGTTTCCCCACCATGAGCAATATCAAGGTGGCCATGCCCACCATCGCCACACCCACCCTGTCTGCTGTGACCACTGCAGTTACACCCACCCAGTGGGCCATATCCCTCCCCCTTCCCACCCGAGGAGACACAATGCTGATGTGGCCCTGGCACTTTGCGATAAATAAGTGGGTTTTGGGTTGTGGTTTGAGCACTCAGTCTCTAAAACAGACATGTCAAACACAAGGCCCGGGGGCCGGATGCAGCCTGCGAAGTGGTTTCATGTGGCCCGCGAAGCCATCCTGGAAACAGTGAGGGAACGGCCCCTGCTGCTTTGGCCCTGGCCCAGGCCAGCCGGAAGCCAGTGTGCAATTTTGGCATTTGCCCTGGTGGACCATGCCTTGGCACTTGCCCTGGTCCCACCCTCTTCTGCCAGAAACCCTCAGATCTGTCCCACTCCTGCCCAGGCCCCCACAGGGACCCTTGACGCAAATGATGTAGAACTGGCAACGCCCACACAGTAGGCCATACCCACTCCATCCACACCCACCCAGTAGGCTGCACCTACTCTGGCCACACCCACCTGGCCCCCCAAGGGCAACCGCAATGCTGATGCGGCCCTCAGTGAAATTGAGTTTGACACCCCTGCTCTAAAAGGTTCGCCATCACTGGACTAAGATGTTTTTCTGTATTTCTGTGAAGAACGCTCCCTGCAATCAATAAGGAACTAAGGAATGCATTCTCCTCCCAAGATTTGTATATAGACCAAGGATACCACAGACTCTCCCAACGTTGTCTTGAAATTGTGTTTAAGGAATCATTGCAGGAAACAACTGCTGTTTCTTAAATTTCTTCTCAAGCTGAGTTAGAACGCAAAGATATTGAGGGTACCGACAACCTAATCTATATACCACCCACCCCCTCAACAAACTATTTCTTTTTGGAAAATTTCCTTTCATCAGATACTTGGGAATATTATTTTGGTATCTTAACCAAAATATGAAATGGCTATTTGTGGGATATTAATTTCCAGAGATTGCTCTAACAGACATAAAAATATAAAGAGTGACAGAGCTGGGATTTGTGCAAATGATGATGACTCAGTTCGGTTCACTTAAAACCTTATTCATTGTTCAGTTTGATGTTGAGCTGCATTTCTTCTTTTCAGTGGAACCATGTTTGTTATGGGATCATACAGAATGGTGAGGTGCTATTTTCTGGATTCCAAGTGAGTTTACTGCCTATGTAATTAAAGAAATTAATTACAAAACTTTTAAAAATTATGTTAATCTAGGCCCTTACACAGTTTCTGATCTTTTTTTGAGACTGTGTAAGAGACAGGTGGGTGGGTTGGATGGTCAGTTAATTAATTTGGGCACTAGATGTGATGTATCCATGAAGATTGATAACATTCGGTTACATGATAACAAGCCTAAAATGAACTTTCTTGGTCCTTCTAACTTTCTGTCTGCCACTAGTGATAAAATCTTATGTCCAAACTATTTTGCTTGATGACAGATAAATTCACATAGACAGGTTCTGTGAACTTTTATTAACAATTCAATTATATGAATATTGATCTACAATTTAGTTATATGAATATTGCTCAACCATATCATGAAGAATGCTTTCAAAGATATGATTATGGAATTCAAGTGTTAGGCAAAACATTTTGGTAGGCAAAAAATGGACAAGAACCATCTCATTTACCCAGACATGTAATTAAAATATGAAATTGCAGTGTTAAGGTTTGCTTATTCAGTTCTGAAGAACTTGGTCAATCCTGCATGGGATATGTTTGCCAAATGAAACTTATCTGAGTGGAAAGTATGCTGCAAATTTGGAGTAAGGAATTAAGTATATTTAAAATTGCATTTCCTGTGAAATGAGAAAACTGTTTAAATAAATGTGAAAGAATGAATAATTTGGGGAAAAATTGGAAACTATTCTCAATTGTATTTCTAGATATAGTAGAAGAGATTTAGCCAGATTTGAACTGTGGATATATGGACACAGGTCTGTGGTATTGTAAGCAGGATAATAAAAATCAATTGGTTTGTTTGGAATCACATGCTAAAATGTTACATTCAGAGATAAGAAACAAGCTAGGCTGAAATTAGCAAATGAGAATGAAAGAAAATGTAGCTTATTCAACCCAGGTGGATCCTTGGACTGCAGTAGACAGATTCCACTGAGGCAACATCTGACTCTCAAAAACTTGCTGCATGGCCTGCAAAAGTGGGTATGTATCCACCTTCCTCCCAGTCAGCTGACTGTATTGCAAGACACAATTTTTGTTGGCAGGTTGTAAGAAGCCAGTTGTTCCCAGTATGTAAGACATTTGTGCATTCTCATTGCCATTTGCAAGAAATGCAAGGCAGACCTGTTGTGGTTTTCTTCTTTATTCCTGGCAAAGCAGCAGCCCTGGACGAACCAGATGTATTTGACAGAGCATATTACAATGCACAAAATAATTTTGCATAAAGCTGAGTATAATGCTGCTCATCTTATTCAGGCCCAAATAAGGACTTGGGTGTTGATTAGCACATATTTTTGCTTTGTAGAGGGTAACAATGAAGGCTTCCTTCATAGTGGTGGACATTTTTAAAAATAAATGATGATGAAAAATCCACTCTAAAGTGAAAAAATCCTTTGTAGCTTATCTGTTCCACAGAAGTACAAAAAAAAGATAGAACATAGAATTCTTCATGGAACTAGCAACATGAGGAAGGATACCTGAGCAGTTTTGAAATGATTAATCTGAGATTGTTGGAGTGGCAATAAAGCTTCTTGGAATGACAGTCAAGTGAGATAGACCCCAATTTTCTGGCAAGTCACACAATTTCCACAGAGCAGCAGACCCAATAAGATCCTTCAGAAAGCAAAATAAGTAGCAGGAGGACAAATGGAGGGATTTCCCTAAAAATACAAAGAAAGCCATTCAAGAAAGGAAGATGAAAGCAACCAGGCATACTTGGATGCATGTATTGTAAATATATATGAAACATTTGACAGTAGACTTTTAATCTTATTTTGGTTATATGGTTAATTCCTTAAAGTATCTTGAGCACAATGGAAATGGTCTGAGGGGCACCTTGAGAACAGCTGCTTCAGGTGGACTATGGAGTTCATTCTTTAACAGTACTCTAATTTTCTTCTATAAGTACACTACTACTGCTTTGGGAATATCTCTTCTTCTAATCACCTTCCTTTCAATTTACTGCAGATGTCTTAGAATGTCTATACTACACCACTAAGGCCCATGTACAATTATGCCATGTCAGATTAGCAGTGTTACAGAAATCCACGAGGAAAACATATGTCTGACCTTCCCCAGCTAGAAAGAAAGAAAGACCCTTAACTCCATTTGAAGTGATAGATTCTTTTACTAAGCACTGTGTAAGGACCCACCCCACTTTGCATCTTAAGAAGACAGAACTCTTGGAATAATTCTTCCAACAGGAATCCTTTATCAAGAGAAAATGGTTGCAGGCATGCTAGACAGGACTTGGGGTTCAAGCTCTTCCATTCAAGGTTTTAAGGGGTTTCCCAGTAGTCCCACCCAATCAACCCCCCTTCCAGTGATAGTTTCAAGTATCACAATTCCACCCCCTTTCTTCTTTCTTCCGTCTGAATGGAGACTTCAGGTAACTACATGAAAGGCAAGTACCCTGCTTTGTTATGATAAGGTTCTCTAGTGCTAATGCTTTGATGTTACAATAAACACACATTCAGCATTCAGCTCTTTGAAGTGTACTGAAGGAAGTGAGGGCCATAAAGCCCCTTTGTTCTCCCCCTTCTCTCCCTCTTATGGCAGAATCCAAAGAAGGCAGAATTGGGAGTTTCTATATTTGATAATTAAAGATGAAATATGATTGGATTCTGACATCCGGCCCCTCTTAAAAATAAGAGAGATCCACCTGAAAGAAAACACAAGTATAAAATTTAGTTAGGCTTGTTAGGATACTCTGTGTGAAACTTCTTCAATAGCTTCGGGGCTCTGACATGACGTTTATGGACCCACTCATTTTGTGAGGGAGGGAGGTGTTTCCAGGCAACTAGGTACTGAGTTGCTCCATGATATCTCCTAGAGTCAAGGACTTCCTTTATTTCGAAGTGTTGTTCACCCTCCACCATGATTGGAGGTGGTGGGGGGGGGATTTTTGGCCGTAGAGGTGACTGATGCTCTCTTTTCAGCAAGCTGCAATGAAAAATTGGGTGTATTTGCCTGAGATTTTTGGGTAATTCTAATTCTACTGTTACTGGATTTATGATTCTTTTAATTGGAAAAGGTCCTATATATTTTGGTCCAAGTTTTTTACAGGGCTGTAGGGACTTTAGGTATTTTGTAGATAAGTACACCATTTCTCCTATAATGAATGGTGTAGGCTCAACCCTTTTTTTATCGGCTTGTGTTTTATATGCCTGCCTAGCTTCATCTAGTGCTTTTCTGACTATTGGCCAGGTGTTTTGTAATTTCTCCATCCATTCTTTCAGCGAGGGGATCGTTGGTTCGTTTGGGGTTAATTCTGGCATGGGGTTGAAACTTTGACCGGTGGCTATTTGAAAAGGAGTGTAACCTGTGCTGGAGTGGACTGCATTATTGTAGGCAACTTCTGCAAAAGGGAGTAAGTCCGCCCACTCGGTCTGCTGGAAACTAAGAAAACATCTTAAATATTGCTTAAGTACGGAGTTCATTTTTTCAGCCCCCCCATTTCCTTGAGGGTGGTGGCTAGATGTCAGTCCCTGAGTGGTTCCTAAGAGGGATAAAAATTCCTTCCAAAATGCAGACGTAAATTGCACCCCCCTGTCAGAGATGATGCGTTGGGGTGCCCCATGCAATCTGTAAATGTGTTGGATGAAAAGTTTTGCTAAGGCTTTTGCAGTGGGAATCTTTTGGCAAGGGATAAAGTGCACCTGTTTGGAAAACAAGTCCGTGACCGTCCAGACCACAGTATTCCCATTGCTTTCTGGCAATTCCACTATAAAATCCATGGCTATTTCTCTCCAGGGGGCTGAGGGACTTGCCACTGTTTGCAATAGTCCTGGCACTTTCCCTTGCAACCTCTTTGCCGTGGCACATTTTGGACAACTGGCTATATAACTTTCAATGTCCTTTTTCATGGATGGCCACCAAAATTGCCGTTTAATTAAATGTAAAGTTTTTACAAATCCAAAATGCCCTGCTGATTTTGTGTCATGGCAAAGGTGCATGAAAGTTACTCTTTGAGTTGTTGGTATATATAACTTTTCCCCTACCCAAGGCAACCCGTCTCTCATTGTGCACACATTTTTGTTTTTCTGGAACCATTCATCTGTTTCCAAGCTTTTTCTGAATTCAATCCCAGTTTGGCTGTCCAGTTGTGGTTTTATTTTGGCTTGGGTTCTTGTGGTTACTGGTGCTGCCAGTTGTGACTCTGCCATTATTGGTCTAGAGTCTGTGGTTCGTGCGCTGTTATATTGGGGCATGCGAGATAGAGCATCTGCCAGGAAGTTCTTTCTTCCTGGTAAATGTTTGAGCTTAAATTGGAATTGGTGAAAATGCTGGGACCAGCGGGCTTGTTTGGGATTGAGTTTCCTGGAAGTTTTCAGGGCTTCTAAATTTTTGTGATCAGTCCACACCTGGAAGGGGATTTTGTTGCCTTCCAGGAACTGTCGCCACGTGAGTAATGCCCAACGTATCCCATAAGCCTCCTTCTCCCATACGGGCCAGCGCTGTTCTGTTTCCGTGAGTTTCTTGGATGTATATGCACAGGGTTGCAATACTGCATCATCATTTTCTTGTAATAGCACAGCCCCCACTGCCACATCACTTGCATCTGCCTGTATTACGAAGGGCTTGTCCATGTCTGGGTGCCTTAGTACTGGTTCGGCAGAAAAAAGTCTCTTTAGTCTCTCAAACGCTGCTTGGCACTCCATTGTCCATGTTAGTGGCTGGCTAGGTTTTACTGAGGATGCTCCCTTCGTTTTTAGTAAGTTAGTGAGGGGCAAGGCTATCTGGGCAAATGAGGGGATGAATTGGCGGTAAAAGTTTGCAAAGCCCAGGAAACTTTGTAGTTGCTTTCTTGTGCGGGGTGGTGCCCAATTTAGTACTGCTTTGACCTTCTCTGGGTCCATTTCAATGCCCTGTGGGGATATGCGATAGCCTAGGTAGTCTATCCTTTCCTGGTGGAATTCGCATTTTGAGAGTTTGGCATATAGGTGAGCGGCTCGCAGCTTCTTTAAAACCGCTCTGACAAGTTTGACGTGTTCTTCTTTTGTTTCAGTAAAGATAAGAATGTCGTCCAAGTAAACAAGGACCCCCTTAAACAGGTGCTCCCTTAGAACGTCATTGATTAATTGCATAAAGACTGCAGGGCCCCCTTGTAATCCAAATGGCAAGACTTTGAATTGATAGCACCCCATGGGGCAGTTAAATGCAGTCTTCCATTCGTCCCCTTCCTTGATTCTCACTCGATAGTAAGCTTCCCTTAAGTCTAGTTTAGAAAAATTTTCCCTTTCGATAGGTGTGACAGCATGTCTTTCATGAGGGGCAGCGGGTATAGGTTGCTTTCACTGATTGTATTCAGGGCCCTATAATCCACGCATAAACGTAAAGAGCCATCCTTCTTCTCTCTAAAAAGGACCGGGGCAGCCACTTTAGGCTTGGCTGGCTCAATGAAACCTCTCTCCAGGTTTTTTTTTATAAATCTTTCCATTTCCTCCTTCTCCTTTGGGCTCATGGAGTATAATCTGGGCTTCGGGAGTTTTGCCCCAGGCTTGAATTCAATGGTACAGTCTGTGGGTCGGTGGGGGGGAAGCTCATTCGCCCTCTCCTCACTGAAGACTTCAGCAAGGTCCCTATATTCCTCTGGTATTTCTGTTAATCTTTTTTCCTCTCCTATGGATGCTTTTTCTATTCTTGATTCTGGTAGCCTCCCTTGGGGTTTTAAGTCCATAGGGTCCCCCTTCGGGAATTTGATTTCTGTCGTCCTCCAATTTACCCAGGGGTTCCATTTTTTCAACCATTCCATCCCTAGAATCATTGGGCATTCCATACCTGGGGTCACCACAAACGTTAAGTCCTCTTCATGGTTGCCCAGGGAGAGGTGTATTGGCAAGAGTGGCTAGGGTAGCTGGCACCCCCCCTGCTATGGATCCATCTAGCTGGCCAAATGAGATTGGTTGTTCCAGTCTCCTGGATGGGATGCCCAGATTCCCCACTAGTGTTGGGCTAATGAGGCAGCGGGTACAGCCAGAGTCTATTAAGGCTTTCACCTTCACAGCTTCGGGCATGGGGGGGATTAATATAGTCACTGTTTTGAAGATGGGTGTGATGCATCCACTTACCAGGGGTTCGCCCTCCGAGCTGTCATCTGAGGCATCCACCGGCCCTGTGGTGTAGGCTGGAGTCCTTTCCCCTTGGTGAGCAGAGGTGGGGGTTTCTGCAATTTCCATCATTCTCATGGCCGTTTCTTTTGGCTTAGCTGAATACTTTCCGGGTTTGTTGATTGGGGATCTGTCTGGGTTGTGCTGGGGGGCCTTTGAGCGGCATTCTACAGCTCGATGCCCTTCTCTTCCGCACTTGAAACATCCCATTTGCTTCTTGGCTGTATCCGATGATTTCACCGGTTGGTGTGTCAGCTCAGGCGGGGGGCGGCTCCATTGTTTTCCTCGGCGGTGCCTCTTCAATATGTCGATCTCTGCTTCCTCTGCCAAGCCGTACCATTCCTCAAGTCGATGTGGGTCCCCTCGGGGCAGGCAAACATCATATAGATCATAGTTTAGTCCGTCTTTGAAATGGCCAAGGAGGATGTCTTCTGGCCAATTCAGTTTGCTGGCAATGGCCCGGAATTCTTGTGTATATTCAGCCACGGGCGTTTGCCTTGCCTCATCGTTTTTATCCTTTCACAGGCTTTGCGATCAGCCAGGGGGTCTTC